TTCACCTGTTTCTTGTTCTTTCCTCTGGAAGAACAGCAATTTTAATCATTTTATCATGAGAGCCTATCAAATGTTTAAAGAGAATTAATCTATTACTTTAAAAATCTTATATAGATCAAGAATCTTGTTTAACTCTTCTCAAAATCAAAGAATATCATATGGAACAAAATCTATGAAACAACATACAGAGACTCTTGAATAATGCAAGCATCTCCAGAAAGTTCATCAAAAGCATCCAGCTTCTGCTGTTTTGCTAAGACTCTGGCTGTTATGGGTTAAATTGTATTCGTCCTTCAAAAGATATGCTAAATCTAACCCTCGGTAACTAATACCTGGTACCTCAAAATGGGATGTTATTTGGAAATAGAGTGGTACATGTAGTTAAGTAAGTTAGGATGACATTGTAGAGGAGCAGGGTGGGCTCCTAATTCAACAAGACTGGTGTCCTTGTAAGGAGATAGCCCTGTGAACATACCAGAGACAAGAAAGGAAGAAGAGTAAGGACATCATGCAACGGCAAAGTGAGAGACTGAATGAGGCAGCTGCAGGCCAAAGATTGCCAACAAACCTCCAGAAGGTAGGAAGAGGCAGGGAAGGATCCCTCTGCTGGTTTCAGAGAGAGCATGGTTCTGCCAACACTTCCATCTTGGACTTCCAACCCCCACAGCTATGGGACAATGCCCCTCTGTACCCAGTGGTTCTTTGTTACAGCAACTCTGGGAAACTAATACATTGACTTTGATTGTATTCTCAACGTTTTGCATTGAATTTTTTTTGTTGGAGTTCCATGCAATTTGGTTTTCTTGCACTTCCGTTTGTTTACTGATTTTAGATTGGTTGTTATCCTCCTTCTGGTTGTCCGAGGAAGTGAGGGGTTTCTACCTACACCTCCATCTTGGCCAGAACTCTCCCTGTCCTTGCATTTAATTTTGGTTGGACTTTCTTTTGGGGAAGATCCCCACAGGATCATTCCATGTAGTAATTGGCAAAGCAAGGAAAATCATGGAATTTTCCCATCTAAGTAATCCCCAGAAGCAAACTGAAACCAGTTTCAGAGTCCATAAATAATGCACGTGTTGGCAAACCTATGTTGTAGGGGATACATCTCCTAATCCACATACTTAGGTGTACAAATCTAACTTCCTTATTTTTCTATAACATGATTTTTAAATAGCAGTTTTGCTGAGATATAATTTTATGGCATTAAACTCACCCTTTTAGTGTTTTTTAAAGTGCTTTCACAAAACTGTGCAACCATCACTATTATTTAATTTTAAAACATTGTCTTCAATCCCTCAAAAATCTTCATACCTAATAACATTCGCTCCCACTATCTGTTTACCCCAGCCCCTGGCAACCTCTAATCAACATTATGTTTCCATCAGTTTGACTATTCTGTACATTTTGTATGAATGGAATCGTACAATAAGTTACTTTTTGTGACTGGCTTCTTTCACTTGCCATAGTGTTTTCAAGTTTCATCCACGTAACATTACCCCATTTATTTTTATTGCTAAATAATATTTCATTGTGCGGTTGTACTATTTTTTTAAAGATTTTATTTATTTATTTTAGAGACGGGAGAAGAAAGGGAGAAAGAGAGGGAGAGAAACATGGATGTGAGAGAGAACATCAGTTGTTGCCTCCTGCATGCTCCCCAGCTGGGGGTGGGACCCACAACCCAGGTATGTGCCCTGATTGGGAATTGAACTGGAGACCTTTCAGTTTGCAGGACAACACTCAACCAATTGAGCCACACCTGTCAGGGTAGATATACTATGTTTTGTTCACCCACATCAGTTGATGGACATTTGGATTGTTTCCACTTTTTGGCTACTGTGAGCAATGCTGCAATGAATAATTGTGTATAGATTTTCGTGTGTACATAGTTTTTTACAGAAATTTGTTTTGGGTATATACATAGGAGTGGAATTTCTGTATCAGATAATAAATCTGTTTAACATCTTGAAGAATGATAAGCTATTTTCCACAGTAACTGCATCATTTTACATTCCCACCAGCAATGTGAAAGGCTTCCAAGTGCTCCTTACCCTAACCAACACTCACTATAGATGTCTTATTTTAGCCATCCTAGTAGATGCAAAGTGGCATCTCATTGTGGTTTGTTTGCATCTCTCTGATGAATAATAATCTTGAACCCATGGGAATATTAACATGGGAACAAAAACATGGAAAGATTTCTATGTGTTTATTGGCTATTTGTATGTTTTCTCTGGAGAAATGTCTATTCAAAAACCTTGCCCATTAAAAAATAGATTTTATTTTTAAGATGGTTTTAGGTTTACAGAAAAATTCAGCAGAAAGTCCAGAGAGTTTTTACATGCCTCTTCTCCTCACACAAACACAGACTGCCCCACTAACATCATTCTATTCCACCGTCAGACTGTTGTAATGGCCAGTGAACCCACGTACATCATTAGCACCCAAAGTCCACAGTTCACTTTAGTTTACCTTGATGTTTTACACACTATAGATTTTGACAAATGTATAATCACATGTATATCCCATTGCAGTATATCATGTAGAATAGCTTCCCTGCCCTTAAGATCCTTTGTGCTGTATATTCACCCCCCCCAAACGCCTGACAAATGCTGATATTTTTACATCTCCATAGTTTTTGCTTTGTCAGAATGTCATATAGTTGGAATCAGACCATATATAGTCTTTTTAGATTGGCTTCTTTCATTTAGTCATATGCATTTAAGGTTCTCCATGTTTTTTCATGACTTGATAGCTCATTTATTTTTAGTGTTGAATAATCCATTGTCTAGATACACCACAGTTTATTTATTCAATCACCTTCTGATAGAGGACATCTTGGTTGCTTCCAAATTTTGGCAATTATGAACAGAGATGCAATAAACATTTGTGGGCAGGGTTTCTTTGTGGGCACAGGTTTTCAACTCCTTTGGGTACATCATACGGAACATGATTGTTGGATCATATAGTAAGAGTTTGTTTAGTTTTGTAAGAAATTACCAAACTGTCTGTCAGAGGAGCTCTATGATTTTGCATTACCACCAACAAAGAATGGGAGTCCATAAATTTTTAATTGGGTAATTTACTTTTTTGTTAAGAGTTTTAAAAAAGTATATTCTGGATACAAGTCCCTTATCATTCTGACTGCTGGCTGGACCTCCTCAAGTTTCCTGGACCTCAATACCATATCTGCACCTCTTCTGTTTCAAATGCCATGCCATGGTCATGAATTTGAGGACCCTGTAATACTCTTTTAGGCCCATCTACAAAGAAAGACACCTGCAGTTCTTTGTGTTCTATGGCTCTACCGTTATGGAAGATGGGAAAAACTGCACCTTAAGTTAGCATGCTCTTTGTAATCTTTTGTTCGAGTCATAAATTTTGTACCCTAAGTTATTCAGGTTCTTGAGTTTTCATACTCAGAAACCAGTCTTTAAAAGTTAGGTTTTTTCTCAATGATTGTCTCTGCCATTGGTTTTAAAATCTATTTTAAAATTCAAAGGCAAGAATTTGACTCCTTTGCTATTGCCTCCTTGATGCCTCTGGTTGAGTTTGAATGGGAGCAGGTAACAGGATATAAGGATGAAATATTACAAGATATTATGTTGCTATATAAGAGAGGTGTTCAAAAGCTGACTCTAAACAGGTACAGATTTTCACTGCACAGGCAGTGAAACTCAGTGACAGAAAGTGAGCCAAGAGTCATTCTGATAGTCTTTGCCTATCTTTCTATAATTCCAAAATTACCACAAAAACGACAGTCATTTCCCAACTTAACATCAATGAAATGTGGCCAGGATGGGTCCCACTTTAATAGCACAGACATCTCCACAGTTACCAGACAGATGGTGTGGTGGGGACAGGGAATTTTTTTTTAAGCAATTTTCTGGGCAGACACGTCTGTTGGTTTTCTTTTTTGTTCCTGACTGTATATAGTTGGCAGTTCAAACTGAACCAGCATATGAAGACCTTCAAAATTTCAGGCCTGTCCCCTTTCCCACCTTCCTGCTTTAATCAGGTGAAACGACTTTCACTCGTTTCTGTCATGTTATACAATGACTTGAAAATTCATGGACAGAGAAAGTATCCTTTTAAATATTTGGATTAAAAATACAAAATTGACTATTTTAAATGTAAATTAATCACTCAAATTCTCCAGCTTTTTAGGCTAATTAGAATAAACCAGACAGGTCATTTTCCCTACACCTGGGCAAAAATGCATTGACTATCTAATAAATGGATTTGCAAGATGAAATTTCACTTTATCTGTTCCACTGTCATCTAGATAAAAAAAACAATACAAATATATACAGACTTTTCTTTTAAATATTTTTTATTTAATTATTGTTCAAGTACAGTTTTCTGTCTTTTACTCCCTTCCTAGCCCACCCCCCCAGGGCTCCCCACCTCCCTCCCATTTCCACTCCCCTTAGTTTTTGTCCATGTGTCCTTTATACGTGTTCCTTATACAGACTTTTTAAGCATTCAAGAAAGATTTCGATAAAGAGCTGGAGTTTCACGCAGTGACTTAAGTTTTCTGACACTCAAAGCCAATAACCAATGCCAATCAGTAATCTTCCCTCCCTTTACTTACAGGATATAGAAGTAAAGAATAGGAGAGGATACGAAAGGGTAACATTTTAAAGAAAATATAAATGTTAAAATGAAAAAGCGAGCGAAACTGACAATGTAAATGACAGTGAGAAAAAAACAAATCCAGGGATACTGAAGAACTTTGCAGAACCAAGTCCGGGTCCCGGACCGCTAAACTGATGTAGGGAAGGCTCCACTTCCAGGAACAATTTCATTGGAACTCACCTGCCCACAAGCACAGCCACCCTGCCTTTTCCGCATGCGCACGCCAAGCAAAAGCTGCCAGGCCTTTCTCCCAGCGTGTTCCACCCCTGGATTCGGAGCTCCCATTGGTTCGATTTACAAAACCACCCCTTAAGCCTAACGAATGTGGAAGCTGCCTTGGTGCTCCGCCCCTACTGCCGGCAGCTTGCAGCGGCGCAGCTCGCAAAAGCTGGTGGTGAGTGGGGATGGCTGCCGAAGCTGCTGCTGCGGGCAGGCTGTGGCTCAGTGCGTGTAGAGCAGGGGGACAGTGGCGCAGTCTGTGTAGTGCAGGGCTGCTGCGAGATTTCCTGCAGCCCGCCTCGGCCGTCGGGGATGCAGCCCAGAGGCGGCAGTTGGCTCACTTCACTTTTCAGCCGGACCCGGAGCCCCAGAAGTATGGTGAGCTAGGGGTTGCCCAGGGCACTCCCGCTGCTACCCAGGCCCGCGGGCACCCTGCACATTCCACGCCCGGCTCTCTAGAGCCTTTTCCTATTGTAGGGTCTGACTGTGGTTTCCTCCTGGCTCTGAACAGCCCCTCACTTGGGACTGTTCAGCTCTTGAGAGGCAGCTCTTTGCACCCTCGATCTGAAGGAGAGGACACTCTGGAGTCTGGAAGGGCCCGAGGGTGGAGGTTCATCGAAGAGATGCCTCCCTTTCTCCGTTCTCCATCCTTGCTTTCCCAACCCTGGCTTTAGGTGTTGTCCCAGCTTCCCCGGGGCTAGGCCAATACCAATAGGCAGCGGTATTTAAAAGAAAGATTTCCCCCCCCCTTTTACCTTTGGTAGATTAGAGAAAACGGAGAAAGTATGTAATTGCATTGATTTTCCCAAGGTCACAGAATAGGTTCTACGAAGAGATGGGAAAGGATCCAGGCTTCCTCCTACCTAAGCTTTCTGCTGGGCCAGGCTGCCACTCAGCCAAGGAAGGATAATCGGTGTAGCTGAAGGGTGGAAGAAGTCATCTAGTTCTTCAAAGGTGGCAAGGACATGGAGCACACCTCACATATGACAGTTGCATAACTTTTATGATTTTTTTCAAGTTTTATGTCATCTTTAAAAGTCTAGTGTCTGTCGTTCAGGCCATCGGAAAGAAGAAAATGTTTTCCCTTGTCTAAAAACTTTTCTGGTGCTAGAGCTGAAGTGTGTCTTTATTTGTGAATAATTAATGAACTTTTATTGAGGGCTTACCATGGGTAGGCACTGTGATCGGAAGTTCACTTCCATCATCTCATTTGATGTTTAGGATAACCTTAAAGATGTCGGTAATGTTTTTATTCCCATTTTTCAGTTAGGTTAATCGAGGTCTTAAGCTAGTTTGTTCAAGATTGCATAGGTAAATTAGTGGTAGTTTCAGCTTTAGAATTATTCATATTCCAAAGCTTTATTTTAAATAATGTGCTAAAATGCATGTAGAAATAATTTGCTATGAGGTGTCCCAATTTTGTGGAACAGGGAATACCATAAAGGTGAACATCAGTGTTCTCACCAATAACATGAACCTCAAATTTTGTCTTAAGAGCAAAGAAACTTTTATTTGGGAAATAGAGCACATGTCTTCTTAATCCCCTTACATAATTGTGAAATTGATAAATTTGAGTAATTGATAATCACTTTCTATGAATAGTCTTATAAGAATAAAAAATCATATAGATAATTTGGATAATAGAAAAAAGTAAAAAAAGAAAGTAGTCTTACCCAGGGTTACAGAATAGCTTACCTTCTAAAAAAGGAATGTAAATATTGCTAACATTTGGGGTGTATTTCTTCCAGTCTAGAGGAATTAGCGTATTCTAATAAAACTAGTAGAATTAAATTTTCTCATAATTGCATTTTTAATAAATACAATCTGCACTATTTAATCAAAAGCATATCCCTTATTATCATATAGTTTTTATAATCTTCTTTAGAAGACACTTTTTTGTGGAGTAGGAACATTATAATTCAGTGATTAAAATCTTGGCTCTAGAATCAGGTTGTCCAAGGTTCTGTCTTAGTCCTGCTACCTATTACTTTGGACTGATTACTTACCCTCTCTAAGGCTCAACTTTTTCATAAGTAAGGAGTTAATAATAATACCTACTTCAGAAGGTTGTTATAAGGGCTAAATAAAGGTAATGGGTATGATATACTTAACACAGCCTCTGACTACACCTACCAATAAGTGGAAACTTTAAATAATTACTATTATGCTTTAGTTGTTACAGTTTTGTAGTGTTAAACATAATGAAGATAGAAACACTTCATGTGCCTTTTATGTATCTAAGATTATTTGTGTAGATAAAATCCCAGGGATGATATCTCTAACTTGAAGAAATGAACACTTTAATGGATTTTAATGCATAGTTTAGATTTTCATTTTATGCTCTCATCTGCATGTATAAGAGTGTGAGTATTGGGTATCATGCTAAAACCACAGGTGTACTCTATATTGTGATTTATAATAAAAATACATATTTAATCTTTGTTCTACTAATGGCACAGAGTTTGGAAAGTCCTTGAAATTTCCTGTGATGGGAGCAATCAGGGCTCCTTTTGTTAATGTGGTATTTTGGCAAGCTCAGAAGTCACTTAAGAATGGGGACTGGCCAAGAGAAACAACCTTTGCAATTAGCGAGTTGGCACTTTCACTTCTACCCACCTGACCTCTGGGGAGGGAGTGGGGCTGAAGATGGAATGGATTGCCAGGGCCCATGATTTAATCAGGCATGCCTCTTCATAAAAACCCAAAGGACAGGGTTCAGACTGTCCCACTCTCACACAAGTTACCATGCCCAAGTTTATTCATCTTAATAAGCTTTCTTGTCCTCATCTGTACTACCTTAGATGTTGCTGGGGGGATTCTGTGAGATAATACATGTAATTACTGGTGCCTGGTACCTGTTGTACTAGAGTCAGTCTCCCTAATTAGGGAATTGGAAGGTAACCAGCACAGAGTAGATGCTTCATAAATACTGGACATTTGATAGTAGTCACTCCACTGAGTTCTCACAGTAGCTCTGTACATTAGACATTTCTTTTATGGAAGTGGTGAAGGAACCTTCCCTAAGTCACACAGGATGTGATGGCTCAGAGACTCAGGCCAGGCCTGCCTTGTGCCAGTGTGTTTACTCCTGCCATTGCCCTGCGTTGCCTCCCAGGGATAGTACATCTAGTCACGCCTGTTGCTGCCCCTGATTTCTGGCATTGTGTATATGTGTAGGTTTGTTTTATTTTTTCATTCTACACATTTTAATTTTCTCCTGGATACCAAACTCTGTGCTAGGTGCTTAGGGATATGGAGATGGGCCTGTGTAGTGGAGGAGATAGATGGGAAGTAGTAAGCAAATGCCTACTTAAATCAATCCCAGTTGCAATAAGGGAAATAAATGTTCATGTGCTAGGAAAAAGAATGAGAGACCTGGCTGGCCCCTAAGAAGAGGTAACATTTCACCAACCTCTAAGGGTTCAGAAAGGAGTGTTCAAGGAGGTGTGTGTGGTTTGCCAGGCAGAGGGTCAACATGTGTAAAGGCCCTGAGGGGGCAAGGAACTTGGTTTGGTAGAATTGAGAAGATACTCAAATGGTGAGCCCTGGGGACAGTGGTGCAAAATGGGACTATTGGGGTGGGCAGTGATGAGATCAGTCAGGGCCTTGTGGATGTGCTGAGAAATGGAATTTCTTTCAGGTATGGAGGCCTTGAAGGGTTTTGAGCAGAGGAGGAATATGACATGCATTGCTTTTTAGGACTCTCATATAGCAGCTTTTTGATGAATGATTTGGAAGGATGAAAAAGTGCAAGTTTAGAAGCAGTACTATGGACTGAATATCTGTGTCTTCCCACTCCCTGCACCCATTCATATTTTGAAGCCTTAATCCTTGATGTGATGGTATTTGGAGATTGGGCCATTAGATCATGAGGCTGGAGCCTGCATGAATGGCATTATAAGAAGAGATTATAATGGGATTATAAAAATTCTCCCTTAGAAGAAGAGAGGTTCTCTCTTTCTGCACCATGTGAGAAAACAGCAAGAAGATGGCCTTCTGCAAACTGGGAAGAGGACCGCTCCAGGAATTCACCTTGGTCTTGGTCACTTTCCAACCTCCATAACTGAGAAACAAAATTCTGTTGTTTAAACCACTCAATCTGTGGTATTCTGTTACAGCAGCTAGAGCTAACCAAGCAAGACATGCAGTTAGGAGGTGGGTTTCTGGAACAGGAAAGAGATGGTGGTTTTTGAAAATAGTGCCACATTTTAAACTGTGTTTTGTAAGTAGGATTAGTGGATTGGATGCCAATAATGAATAAAAGGAAGACATTCAAGGAAGACCTCCTTTGTTTCTGGCTTGGGCAGCTGGATAAAGGATAGAACTCTGCTAAAATGTAAAAGTATCATCTTGGGCATAGACACCAAGAGTTCAGTTTTGTGCTTGGTGAGTAAAAGCCCAAGAATCCAAGTGCAGAACTGCTCACTATTGGAGATGTTGATATAAGAACATCCAAACCTATAGGTAATTTTCATAAAAATTGTTGTGATCCAAATAGGATATAACTGGATGCAAGATCTCAAGAGCCCGAGATCAATGCATTGGGGAATAACAGTTTGCAGTTCTGTTATGCATTTGGAATTAAAGAGGGAAGGAAGATTACATGAAGGTGGGAGAAAGCAGATGATGATGGGAATTACAGGATAGTTGAGATTAGGTGCTCTCTTGCATGCTTTAGAAGGAGGGGCCTAAAAGGGCCATTTCACAGGTGCATGAACCTACAGGCACAGAAAACAATGGAAAGGGCCTGCTTAAGGCAAAGATGAGCCTTTTTGTAAAGAATTTGTAGGCTAGGGATGTGATTACCTACCATGACCTGCCCAGTTAGGAACTTATAGTTAGATCACCCTGTGAGATTATGATAGGGTAACTCAAGAGTAAAAATTTTAGCCTTAGTTGATAGGCATAAGTGATTAATGCACAAGGAAAACTGTTATTCTAGGAAGTGGAATATGAGACCTACCTGTAACTCCAGGAGGTCCACAGGCAATGCAGCCTTTGTGCTTCAGGGGCTCTGCAAGCAATGGAGATGGTAACTGAGCCCTTGTGTTCCAGGGAGGGAAGACCAGGACTCAGGAAAAGAATTGTTGATCAGAAGATAAAGAAATACTAGGAAAATTGCTGCTGGACTGCAACTCTTAATCTGATTAATATTTTCCCAACCCCCTGACCTACCCTTTCTTCCTATAAAAAAGATTATCTTGAGCTGAGATGTTAAGACAGATTTTGAGGGTATATAACCTGTCATCTTCTCAGATTTCAGGCATCTGAATAAAGCTCCCATAATGATTCAATCCTTGTCTCTACTTTATTGGTTCTGGTAGTGACAGGCAGCATGAATACCAGCTTTTCCAGTCTCAGTTACTTTCCATAGAACCCATTTTATTTGTCTACAGATATAAAAGACAGGAGCTCAGATGAGAGGTCTGGATTATAGATATTCATTTGGGAGGCATCAGCATGTGGGTGGGTTTAAAAACCACTTTGAGATTGAGTGGAGAAGGAGCCTGCAGAAAAGAAGGAAAGCGTTATGGCTTGCCTGCCATGTCAACACTGAGTCACCAGGGGCCCTGAGAGGGGGAACCTAGGGACTCTAGTCACAGTCCATTCGACTTTCGGAATTTCTTAGGGCCTGTCTATTTGATTACTGCCCCCTTTCCCCTGTACTATTTACTTTCTCCCTTTTTCTGGATACACAATAATACCAGCACCTTAAAAAAGGCATTTGTGTTTATAGATCCTTCATTCATATTTTAATGTTAAATGTTCTGTCTCTGATATTTGGATTTTCCCTGGAACTTACTATAATGGAGTACAGATTGCAGCACCACTTAATGGAGCTTAGAATGAGGTAGAGCTACATGCCTGGCACATAGTAAGGGATTGCTGGGAAATAGGGCATCTGGAGAGGTAAAAGAGGTTTTGTTGAGGGAAAATAGGTAGCTGCCTAACCATCTTCCCATTTCACAATATAGTTAGTGCCAGTTGAAGCCACTGAAATACTCATTCTTGTGCTTCCACAGGCATACACTGATTGCCATGTATGTTTTAGGCACTGTGCTAAATGCTTTCTAAGGAATATGATTGAGGCAATGTTATAATATGTAGGTCGACAGCAAGGACTAGGCAGCTCAAAGGAAGTGCAGTGCTGAATTTATTGGCAGAGCCTTCATTTTTCTAAAAGCAGGCCCTAATTTTCAGTATCATAGCTGTGTATTTTTATTTGTTTGGGGTCCAATTACAAATATACTTGCTGTTGACATGCTCTGCTGTTGACCTTATTTATTTTTGGAGACTGCTCCTTGGGACCGATTCACTCCTTTTGTCTCAAGTGCTCTGGCTTTGTGGAAGGCTTCTCTCTCCCTTCAGTACAACTGCCTACTGAAGAGTTATTCAAAATAACTGAATACGCCATCAGATGCTATTGCAATATCCCCTCTCACCCACCTCCCCTGCAGTCTCTTTGAATTGTGACCTTGACAGATCATTTTTTTCTATCCCATTCCTTTTTCTGTAAGTGGTCGATTAACACTTTGCTTTGTGTATTTTTATCTTTATTGACATAGCTGCATGTATTTATTTGTCCAGTCATTCATTCAACAAATGTTTATTGAGTACCTACGGCATGTCAGACATTGTAAACACTGAGCATATAGCTGTGATCAAAGGCATATGGGAATCCCTTCCCTCTCAGAGCTTATGTTCTGGCATGTCTCTTCCATTCTGCTCACATGCCACTTTAGTTTGGCAGCAACAATGACCTAGTCATTCGTGATGCTGTAAATAACTTTTTTAGTGGTGTTCACAGACCACCTTCTTTTTTTTCTTACAGGTCTTCCCAGTGGCACAACTTTGGTTGGATGTGCTATAGGTGTGCTTATCTTATCATGAGGGAACACAGGCAGATTTTACCAATGGGCTGTGGTATAAGCTACACAAGAATAAGTACTTTAAGGAAATTAAATATTTTATTTTTTTAGTTTTAAGTTTCCAGGAAATTAAATATTTAAAATGATCTTACTTGTGAATAACTTGTGCTTTCTTTCTGACCTCCCCACAAAACATAGTACGACTTTAAAACAAATCAAAAGTAAATGTTACTCTACTAAAAATGGTCATTTAAGAACATGTTGATGGTTGTCAAATGGGAGGGGGGTTGGAGGGGATGAGTGGAAAAGGTGAAGGGACTAAGAACTACAAATCGGTGGTTACAGAACAGTCACAGGGATGTCAAGTGCAGCACAGGGAACATAGTAATATTGTAATAACTGTGGGGAATCTGGTGGCTACTAGAACTGTTGGGTTGAGCACGTCTTATGTTATATAAATGTCTAATCAGTGGGTTGGCCACATGAAACTAATATAATACTGTGTGTCAACTGTAATTGAAAAACTAAAAATATTTTAAAATTTCAAAAAATTGTCATAAAACTTTTTAAAGCATCTGATAGAATAGCAGTTAATCCAAAACCCTAAAATTTTGAATTTATTTGGAAAAAAGTATTCAGGAGTGAAAGTTTATGTGCTCATATGGAAATATTTAAATACCCCTCTAAATTATTTTCATGCAAGATAAGTAAATTCTTTGTGGTTATCAAACAATACTTTCCAGATTTACTTAGTGTGATTTTTTATTGTTAAAGTCTTTGCTGAGTAGCAATGTGATAAGATAGCTTAACATTCAGTATTACTTCTAATCAGCAGACTTAAAAGAAATATCAGTTTAGATGTTTAGGAACTTTTCATCTTCCTAGGTTCTTAGGTATAACAATCTTAATTGGCAAAAATCTTACTTTATGAACTGTGTGCAGTAGGACAGTGGGAATGTCTTGGTGGTCGGTAAAAACAAAATTTACTCTAAACCATTATATCTGATGTTGAGCACCAAAAAACACTCTGAAGAGTTTTGTAGGCTGGAGAAGGTATCAATTAAATGATACAGCCTTAGTCTCAAGAAAAATAAATTATGAAGTGATCATGGACATGCGGTGTGATTGTATTTCCTCTGACATGGTTGATGTAACACTATTTTCTTGAATAAATTCCTGTTGTCCCTACCAGAAATAAGTCTACAAACAGGCCTTTGTTCTGGGCACACAGGGCAGCAGGTAGACCTGATGGGCATTGCCAAGACCTGTAGTCTGGGCATTTAGCAGCGTTGAAGGGGTTAAAGAGACATCTGAGGCCAGAGCAGACAGAGAAATAGTAGGCCATGTGTCAGTAGTTAATAAAGATTGAGGATGTCACAGGTCAGAGACTGCCATGGAGTCCTGGGAAGAAGATGGGTTTCCAAGAAAAAAATGAGTGACTACTGTTTCATGGCCAGAGGGTTGAAGGCAGTGAATAGCAGTGGCTATTGTGTCCCACCCTGGGAATTGGACCTTGGATTTTGAACATACCAGGCTACTGAGGAACACAGAGGTTATCAGACGGGGCAGTGGTTCGGGTAAGAGCAGGAGTTGAAGCGATTTGGTATTAGCATGGTTATGGGTCAAAGTGAACACCAGTGCAGGGATTAGGCACTAAAGTGAAGACTGGCTGTGGATCAGAGAGGATTCCGGCAGAAGCTTTTCTCTGCACTGAATATGGTTTTGGAGGAGTTGACCCAAAGTTCTAGGATGACCGTGGTCACTGGGCAGCTCCAAGACTGAAATTGCACCTCTGAAGTCATCATATTTCTGAATTTCAGCATTTGGAACTTTATCAACTAATGCTTTGTGCCCTTTGGCATGATGCCTAGGTCAAGATGAAGAACACAAAGTCCAGATCTAATAGTAAATAGCTAATATTTATTCAACACTCACTGTGTCCTGTATTATTCTAAGTGCTTTACATGTACTCCACGTAACCCATTTAGGGAGAGAGAGATTGGCTTGCAGGGATTCTGACTTGAGCAATAAAATAATAGGGAGAAACAAGTCTGATGGGTTTAGGCCTGAGATTCTAGTATTCTCCAAACACCAGCAGTTCTGGGTACTTGAATTCACTTGTTAGCCTTCCTCATTGTTTTATGGCCCGTGACCATTTGCTTCCACTGGCCTGTGTAACACATGCCACTGGTCATGTGTATATCTTATGGCTCCTGTTCCCAACTCCCCTCCAGGGCATCTTCCCACACCACTCTCGTGCTGGCTGGTAACCTTTCCTGGCTGTTCGTAACTTTTGTTGACTTGCTACACATATTTGGTCACTTGATTACATATATTCTTCCTTTTTTTATACTTGTTTCTTTAATTGTTTAATGTTTGTAAATTTTGCTTTATGAACACCCTCCTGAAGTCTGTGTTGCTTTTGTGCCGTTTATAGAGCCATCGGCATTGTAAATAACCCAATAAATTCATGGAACTTGCTCTGTACCTTCCCTCCTGCCTTGATTTTAATTCAAGTTGTAACTTATTGTTAAGAAATGCATTATTTTCACATATCTTACAATGTATGAAATATGACTTAAATTTTTTTTTAATTTTTACAGGGCAAACTCAGAAAATGAATCTTTTCCAGGCAGTAACAAGTGCCTTGGATAACTCATTGGCTAAAGATCCTACTGCAGGTAAACTTACCTTCTGCTTGATTATGGAGGCTGTGGCTTCAGAATTAACAGTTTGTTAGAAATATTTGTCTGGCACTCAGTGGTTAACATTATAGCTACCTGAAATTTATAAAAGACCTGACCAAATGACTAAGGTTTAATAATCCAGTTATGATCTTAACACACTTTTAATGCACTCATTACAAATTAGTTCTCAGGTATATCTAACATCATCATCAAATTACCTTTCCCCATAGTATGCGAGGTACTGATATTATATTAGTACCTTCTGGATTAATACCTACTCTGTACTCCTGTTTCTCTAGCATATAAAAAACAAAATACCACTTTGTTCAGCTCTCTATAAAAATTAAGATTTGATTCTATGCTTTCCTATAGGATACATTGTCATTCAACTTGCAAGATTTGGGGGGGCATTATATAAATAACCTTACCTTTGTCTTATCAAGTTAAATTATTAATATAAGAACCTTTGTCTTATCAAGTTAAATTATTAACATAAGGAGAGTTTCCCTTCTGCTGTATTTTTGAAAACTTGATTGGTTATACTTCATACCTTTGACTTCTACGTGAGAATCCTTAGTTTTAAGATCAAGTGAAAAACAGGTTGTTTTTTAGTAGGAAGTGAGAACTAGACTGTTGGACTGGAGTTGTTTTGAATGCTGTCTGAGAGAGGTTGGTCTGGATGAATAGAGAAGGGTGAGTTATTTTCCTGAGGTACACAAAGCTGGTTGGGTGCATTAATATGACTAGATTTAGCACTGTGAATTCTCATTTTTTAAATTTCCTTTGCCTTACTACAAGTTCCTCTCAGTTCGCACCTGTACTGTTCTTTTTCTTGCTTACTATGTCCTACCACACTTGCCTCCTTTCTCTTTCACACAATGTAAGTCACTTAACTATTTGTGACTATTCTCTCTGTTTGGAATTCTTTGCTTTCAGTGTTTCCAATCACTGACTCTCATTGTATAATATACCATGCATTAAATAACACTGGCCAGAAACTCGAGAGCCTGGAGCGTGAGTTGTAGTTCTGCCTCCTTGCTTTCCGACTTCACAAGTTCCTTTACTCCTCCTGTGGCTTCAGTTTCTCCATGGGAAAGCAAGATGAGGCTTTAGAGCGATGGTTCTTTCTCCTCTGGAGCGATTTCAATCCCCCTTCCCCTTATGTGTAACAATGCCTAGAGACACAGCTGTGTGTCAGGGGCAACTGTCATCCAGCAGGTAGAGGTCAGATATACGATGTGCTGCTGTCTGCCTACAGTGCACAGGACGGGCTGCTGCAACGGAGGAATCATCTTGTTCACAATGTCAGTAATGTCAAAACTGAGAAACTTTGATTTGGATCTGTGGTCCACTTCTGTCTTCTGATTTAAAATGCAAACATTTACATTACTTATTTCTCATTGTTACTATGAGTCAGGGATAATTAAATAAAATATGTCCTTTAAACATCATTTTTCAGTGATATTTGGTGAAGATGTTGCCTTTGGTGGAGTCTTTAGATGTACTGTTGGCTTGAGAGACAAGTATGGTAAGTTAATATCTTTATATATGAACAGTGTTCCTATATAATTTTTACTTAAAGATCTTGAGAATACAAAATATGCCTGTTAAATTGTTGCCATATCTGTATTGTATGAATGAGTTCCTTTTCATTGCCACGGCCGCCCACGGAATCCTTTGGCCTAGATTTCTCCAAATGTGCTCTGGGGCATCCCTTCAACCTAGTTCATATTACACATATTATAGATTCCAAAATAATCTTTGTTAAATGTATTGTTTATCAATGTCATGCATATATCTAGGAATCTTTGATGTTATTGCTGCCTGCTCAATTTCAATTCCATTGCCTGTAGTTTAAGATTTTGCCCTATTAGTCTTTCTTAAAAGATTTCATCTTTTTTTGTCTATTTTCTTTTTTATTTTTCTATAATTATGTATACATACAAGTTTTATACATCTTTTTATGTCTGTATATTTTATTTGTAGATGTGCATATATACATGTTTTTCAAAAATATTTGGCTCCTATTTTGTGACTCTTTTTAAAAATATATTTTATTGATTATGTTATTATAGTTGTCCCAAATATTCTCCCTTTGCCCCCTCTGCATAATATTCCCCCTTTTTTCCAGCAGTTTTCCCCACTTAATTCATGTCCATGGGTCATGCACTTCAGTTCTTTGGCTACTGCATTTCCAACATTGTTTTTAACATCCCCCCGTCTATTTTGTACCTACCAATTTGTACTTCTTAATCCCTGCACCTACCCTCCTTCTTCCCCAACCCTCCAAATAATCTTCATTTCTGTGATCTGTTCCTGTTCTGCTTGTTTGCTTAGTTTATTTTTTTATTCCGCTGTTGATAGTTGTGAATTGGTTGCCATTTTAATGTTGATAGTTTTGATCTTCTTCTTTCCCCTTAAATAGGTCCTTTTAACATTTCATGTAGTAATGACTTAGTGATGATGAACTCCTTTAGTTTGACCTGTCTGGGAAGCACTTTATCTGCCTTTCCATTCTAAATGATAGCTTTGCTGGATAGAGCAATTTAGGTTGTAGGTCCTTGCTTTTCATCATTTTGAATATTTCTTGCCAGTCCCTTCTAGCCTGCAAAGTTTCTTTTGAAAAGTCAGCTGACAGTCTTATGGGAACTCCTTTGTAGGCAACTCTCAGCTTTTCTCTTGCTGCTTTTAAGGATCTCTCTTTATTTTTAACCTTTGGCATTTTAATTATGATGTGTCTTGGTGTGGTCCTATTTGTGTCCAACTTCTTTGGGAATCTCTGAGCTTCCTGGACCTGCATGTCTGTTTCCTTCACTAAATTAGGGAAGTATTTTTCATTAGTTTTAAAAATAAGTTTTCAATTTCTTGCTCTTCCTCTTTTTTTGCCACCCTTATGATTTGGATGTTGGTACGTTTGGAGACGTCCCAGAGGCTCCTTATTCTATTCTCATTTTTTAAAAATTCTTTTTTCTTTTTGATGTTTTGACCGAATGCTTTTTTCTTCTGTTCCAGATCATTGATTTGAATCTCAGCTTCATTCCCTCCAATGTTGGTTCCCTGTGGATTTCTTTTTTATTTCACTTAATGCAACCTTCACTTCTGCCAGGGTCTTTTTTTATGTTGTGGCAGTACCCAATGATTTCTTTGAGCATCCCAATAAGTAGTGTTTTGATCTCTGCATCTGATAAGTTGGCTATTTCTGTTTCATTTAGTTCTTTTTCTAGAGTTTTATTTTGTTCTTTCATTTGGGCCATATTTCTTTGTCTCCTCAATTTGGCAGCCTCACTGTGTTGGTTTCTGAGTATTAGGTAGAGCTGCTTTGACTCCCTGTCTTAGTAGTGAGTCCTGTTGTAGAAAAGTCACCTGTAAATTGTGTTGGGAGGAGTCTTAAGTGGTCACTGGGGTGGAACAAATTGTTTCAGTGCTTTGTGGCTCCATGGGGGGTGGGGTGGGGCAGGGAGCTCAGCCCATATACAACTTGTGCCCTTCCAGCTGTTGCCCTGGTACTGAATCTATAGGGGGTCATTCTGCATGAATACCAACTCAGTTGTGGGTCATTTTAAAATATATATATTTTATTGATTATGCTGTTACAGTTGTCCCATTTTTTCTCACCTTTATCCCCCTCCACCTTTTACCCCCTGCTCTCCAGAATTCCACCCCCGTACCCTTAGTTCATGTACATAGGTCATACATATAAGTTCTTTGGACTCTCCATTTCCTATACTATTCTTAACCTGTTCCTCTTTTTTTGTATCTACCCATTATGCTTCTTATTTCCTGTACCTTTTCCCCCATTCTCTCCCCTCCCCTTTGCTGCTATGATCTCCATTTGATCCATGTAATCTCTGTTTCTGTGATTCTGTTCATGTCCCAATTGCCTGTTTTTGTTTTTTAGGTTCAGTTGTGAGTTGTGAGTTGGTAGTTGTGAGTTTGTTGTCATTTTACTGTTCATAGTTTTAATCTTCTTTTTTCTCAGATAAGTCCCTTTAACATTTCATATAACAAGGGCTTGGTGATAATGAACTGCTTTAACTTTACGTTATCTGAGAAGCACTTTATCTGCCCTTCCATTTTAAAAGATAGTTTTGCTGGCTAGGGTAATTCTGGATGTAGGTCCTTGCCTTTAATGACTTAGAATACTTCTATCCAGCCCCTTCTTGCCTGTAAGTTTTCTTTTGAGAAGTCAGCTGATAGTTATGTTTTGTACATGTATGTATCAGCTGATAGTCTTATGGGAACTCCCCTGTAAGGTAACTAACTGCTTTTCTCTTGTTACTTTTAAGATTCTGTCCTTATCTTTAATCTTGTGTACTATAATTATGATGTGCCTTGGTGTGTGCTTCTTCAGGTCCAGCTTCTTTGGGACTCTCTGACCTTCCTGAACTTGCATATCTATTTCTTTCTCCAGATTGGGGAAGTTTTCCTTCATTATTTTTTCAGATAAGTTTTCAAATATTACTGTTTTTCCTCTTCTTCTTCTGGCACCGTATGATTTTGATGTTGGAATGTTTACAGTTGTCCTGGAGGTTCCTAAGTCTCTTGTTTTTTTTTTTTTTTAAGATTTTATTTATTTATTTTTAGAAGGGAAGAGAAGGAGAGAAATATCCATGTATGGTTGCCTCTCATGTGTCCCCTGCTGGGAACTGGCCTGCAACCCAGGCATGTGCCCTGACTGGGAATCAAACTTCTATCCTTTCGTTCACAGGCCCTTGCTCAATCTACTGAGCTACACCATCCAGGGCATCTTCATGTTTTTTTTTGAATTCTTGTTTCTTCATTCTGATCCAGTTGAATGTTTATTTCTCCCTTTTGTTCCAAATTGTTGATTTGAGTCCTGATTTCTTTCCCTTTACTGTTGGTTCCCTATTTTTTTATTGCACTTTGGATAGCCTTTACTTCTTCCTTTATTTTGTGTCTGTACTCAATCATTTCTATGAGCATCCTCTGTTTTGAATTCTGATTCAAAAATGTTACCAGTGTTTTGAATTCTTCATCTGATAGGTTGGCTGTCTCCTTATCACTTAGTTCTTTTTCTGGAGATTTTTATCTGTTTTTTCATTTGGATCATATGTCTTTGTCTCAGAGCATCTGTTACTTTGTAAGCGGCAGAGCCGCAGGGATTCGCCAGGGCAGGGCAAGACACTTTGCTGGGTTGTGGCACTGTATGTGAAGGAGGGGTCAGGGAGGGAATAATGCCATTTACTCAGCTCTCACTTTGTTGGGGCTCCTTTAAGAGAAGTCTCTTGAGAATCCTATAGTTTCTTCTGCTGCCCCAATCCACCACTGGTTTCTGCAGTGAAAGTTATGGAACTTATCTTCCTGGTGCTAGAAACCTGGGCAGGGCGGTCTGGTCTGTGGCTGGGATTGCTCCTTTCCGAGATATCCCTCCCAGTTTTTATCCACCACAGGTGAGTGTGGGACCACCTGTTCTGTCCCTTCTCCACACCTCCACATCTCAGCACCTCCTGCCCTTCGGGATGAATATGACTTTAAATTCTCGGTTGTTGGACTTGCATACAGCTTGATTTTCTGATGCAGCTGGGTGAAATTTGTTTTGCAGTTTAGTTCTAATTTTTTTTCTGTAGTTGTGCATGGAGGTGAAGTATGTTTAATTATGCCTCCGTCTTGGCAGGGAGTCTGATATCATCTTTTATTACCTGCGTTACTCAGGGTTCTTTAGAAAATAGAAGCATTAAGATATATTTGTGTCTCTGTGTGATGTGTATATATATATGTACCTATATCTGTGTGTATATCTATATATCTGTATATCTATCTACATCTATACCTATACCTATATATAGAGAAGGAATAATAGATTTATATTTTAAGGAATTGGCTCACACAATTGTGTGGGCTGGCAAAGCTGAAACCTGTAGGGCAAGCCAGCAGGCCGGAAACACTGGCATGGTTTCTATATTGCAGTCTTGAGGCTGAGTTTCTTTCTGTGTGGGAAACCTTAGTTTCTCCTAGGGCCTTCACGTGATTGCATGAGGCCCAGCCACATTATGTAGGGTAATCCTCTTTATTGAAAGTGTACTGATTTAAGTGTTAATCTCATCTGAAAAATACCTTCACAGCAATATTTTAGACTGGCATTTGATCAGATAAGTGGGCACCATTGCCTAACGAAGCTGACACACAAAGTGAACCATTGCATTCTCTTTTTACATGTTTTATCCCAGCTAATGTGTGTCTTTTGCCTGGTATGTGATTGATTTCTGCTTTTTGCTTTCACTCATTTCATTTGACTCAAGACTATCAGAATGCTTTGTGGCCCATCCCATTCTTCTCATTCCTGACTTTTTATGTAGGGGATGTTGCACCCCCTACTACTGTAAGGGATGCCTTAGGTAATTTTTACTTGTTATGTCTTCTCTCAGTTTTATTTAATCTGGCAGTGCAGTTCAGTTTCTTGGGAGGACTTGACATCTATCTACCTTCTTACCTTTGACACTGCCCTGTAAAGCTCCTGTGTGCCACCAGAGTAAGGGGCGAAGGTCTTTAAGATATTTTTTTCTAATT